AAGTAGAGAGGCATGAAAATTAAAGTCAAATGAGGGAAATTTATTATGAGAAGTGGACGTCTTCTTGACGAAAGGGAAAGAAAGAAAAGACATTAATTCTCCCCCTTCATAGGGTGGAGTTAGGTCTGCTGAGAAGCCCACAGTCTCCGTTTTTACTGGGCACCTGGAGTGCAGAGCGCTTGAGAAACAGCTATTAATGACCCAGATTCTGAAACCGTCATGTTGCTACTCAGTCGTAACTCTGTGTTGTTACAACTGTGATCGGTAGAAATATTTTGGACAAACCTTTGAAATGACAAAGGAAATAATATGAGTAGTAATTGAGTGTTATTAAAAGATTGATTCAGGCTTGCCAGCCACAAAATGTCAGCCTGGTAAGAACAAAACTGCTTGTTAAGACAGGCCTCAGACAAGGATGAAGCAGAGCAAGCCCCCAAAAAGTTATAGGTATGTCCTAGTTCTTGGAAGTTACTGCTTGTGTCAGGGGACAAACACTCCAAGTTGCTAAGGTCTGTGGAGCAGGCAGAGACTGAGAGGGATTAACAGAAGCTTCTTAAAGGAAGATGATTGACAGCAGGACAGGTAAGAGCTGGTCTTGGGAGTCCTGACCCTGACAGTTACTGTCTTTGAGATCTTGGGCAAATTATCGTAGAAGTGCTCTAAACTTTCAAAAAAAACACCTTAAGAGGGCTGCTGTGGGGCTTCATTGTGATTACAGTCATGTACGTGCATGTTTAGCATGACACCTGCTGCATGGGAAGCGTTCCATACGTGTCGCGACTGCTGGGTCGTCGGAAAAGTCAGGCCGTACTTTTCTGTGTTTCTTTCTTTCTTTTTTGAGCGTTTTTTGCTATAGGGTGCGTGTGCGCGCCAGAAAAACAGAGAGATAGAAAGGGAGAAATCACCCCCCCTGGGGGAATGGCCATGCCGCAATCCCTTCTCCTCCATTCTCCTCTCGGGATCCTGGGCACGCACACACACACGCCTGGCGTGAGTTTAAGCCACCGGGTCCGGGACTCGAACTGCAGTAGACTACATGGGAGTCCAGTGATATAGCCATTACGCTAACTGCTGGTCCCCTTTTCTGTGTTTCTATGCAAAAATGTATCATGACTTTTCCAATAACCCAATATATTCATAGTAGTAGTAGTCTATTATTTTTTCTGAGAGTTTTTTTTGCCTTAGGGTGCTTGCCAGAGAGGGAGAGAAAGACAGAGATAGAGACAGTGAGAGAGAATGTGAGAAATCATTCCCCAGGAAGATGCCCAAACTGCAATCCCTTCTGCTCCATTCTCCTCCCGGGATCTTGAGTGTGTACACACAGGTGCCAGTGTGATTTTTAAGCCACCAGGGCTGGGATTCAAACCGTGGTTGGCCATGTGAGAGTCCAGTGGGAAGGCTGCTGTGCTCTCTGCTGGTGTCCATAGTAGTACTCTTTTTTAAAAAATTACTTAATTCCACTCATTACTATTATTTTTATTATTTTAATTTGACCAGAGAGAGAGAAAGGGAAAGTGGGACTCGAACCGTGGTCAACCCTGTAGAAAACCAGTGCTTTAACCACTATGCCATCTGCAGGTCTTCCACAGTAGTACTTTTTTTTTTTGAGAGTTTTTTTTTGCTATAGGGCGCATGCGCTCGCCAGACAGAGAGAGACAGAGAGACAGAAAGTGAGAAATCGCCCCCCAGGGGGGATGGTCACGCCGCAATCCCTTCTCCTCCATTCTCCTCTCAGGATCTTGGTCACGCACGCACACGCGCCCGGCGTGAGTTCTAAGCCACCGGGTCTGGAACACGAACCGCGGTCGACTACGTGGGAGTCCAGCGACATAGCCATTACGCTGGTTCCCCCATAGTAGTACTCTTGAAAGGAGATAATGAATATATGTTTTTCCCAGATGGAAGTGAAGAAAATCTTAAGGAAAGGGATGGTAAGAACAAAAGCACAGAAGAAAGGAGAAAGGAGGACTTTATTATTTATTACTTTCAGTCTATACTGAGTCAAGGGGAAAGACTATTATGAAGGAAAGAGCAATGGAGGGGTGTGGGAAAGCAAAGAGATTAACATGGTTTAAAGTTAGAGATGGGGAGGGAGAGGTATGGGTGGCATGGTGGTTAGGGTGCTGGACTCCCACATGGCCAGTTGTGGTTTGAGTCCTGGACCTGGCAGCTTGCTTTCTCATGTTCCCGCTCTCTTCCTGTCTCTCTCTCTGGCCAAATTTAAAAATAATAATAATAAATAAAATTATGTAAAATAATTCTTAAAAATGAATTGACCATAAAATAAAGGAATTAACACATCCAAAATTCTGGTACCAAAAATACCATTAAAAAAATTAGAGACCAAAGACCAACCAGCAAATGGCGTAGTGATTACATTGCCAGACTCCTATGTAGTTGATTGTGGTATGAGTCCTGGACCCGGTGGCTTAAACTCATGAACTCATGCCAGGCGCATGTGCATGTGTGCCCAAGATCCCGAGAGGAGAATGGAGCAGGGATTGTGGCGTGGTCATCCCCCCGGGGGGGTGATTTCTTGCTTTCTGTCTCTCTGTCTCTCTCTGACTCTCTGGCAAGTGCATGTTCCCTACAGCAAAAATCTCTTTAAATAAATAAATAAATAAACTAGAGATCTTTTTTCAATTTTTTTTTGAGAGGTTTTTCGCTATAGGGCACTTGCGTTCACCAGACAGACAGAGAGAGACATAGAGACAGAAAGAGAGAAATCACCCCCCAGGAGGGATGGTCACGCCGCAATCCCTTCTCCTCCATTCTCCTCTGGGGATCTTGAGCACACACGCACACACGCCCAGCGTGAGATTTAAGCCACTGGGTCCGGGACGCAAATCACAGTCAACTACGTGGGAATCCAGCGACATAGCCATTACACTAACTGCTGGTTCCCCAAAATATTTTTAAAAAGTATTTATTTATTTATCATTTTAGTATTATTATTATTTCTTAATTTGAACAGAGAGAGAAAGGGAAAGTGAGAAAGTAAGCCACCAGGTCTCGGACTCTAACTGTGATCAGCCATGTGAGAGCCCAGTGCCTTAACCAAAATGTCATTTGTCAACCCCACAAAATCTTTTTATTTTTAAAGTTTACTTTTTTGTAAAAAAGAATTATTTTATTTAACTTTATTTGTTTATTTAGAGGGACAGATCGAGAGAGAGAGAGAGTGAGAGAGAGTGAGAGGATGTGAGAAAGCTAGCTGCCAGGTCCAGGACTCAAACAATGGTCAGCCATGTGGGAGTCCAGTGCACTTAACCACCATGCCACTGCCAGCCCTGCCTCTCAAAATCTTTTTTTTTTTTTCAAAATATTTTTTATAAAACTTATTTATAGGCTGGGACCAATGGATGGCATAATGGTTACGTTGCTGGACTCCCATGTAGTTGACTGTGGTATGAGTCCTGGACTCGATGTCTTAAAACTCATGCTAGACACATGTGCGTATAGGCCCAAAATCCCAAGAGGAGAATGGAGAAGGGACTGCAGCATGGCCATACCGCCTGGCGGGTGATTTCTCACTTTCTGTCTCTCTGTCTCTCCAGCGAGCACATGAGCACTATAGCAAAAAATCTCTCACCAAAAAAAAATAAATAAATAAAAACTTATCTATGGGGCCAGCAGATGGCATAGTGGTTAAAGAGCTGGATCCCACAAAGTTGATTCCATGATTTGAGTCCCTGACCCAGCAGCTTGAAAAACATGCTAGATGTATGTGAGTGCATGCCCCAAATCTTTAAGCCACTGGGGCCAAAATTCAAACAGCGCAGTCGGCCATGTGAGATCCAGCTCTTTTAACCACTGGGACACAGGGCTTGCCTGACCATCTATACTTTGTAAAGCTTCTGCTTAAGATTCTGACTGCTCTTCTGCTGCTCAGAAATAACATTTTCCAGAATAGTCTTTACTCAAAATCTTTTAAAAATATATATTTTTTCCCCTGGTGGGGGAAAGCCAGCAGATGGCATAGTAGGTAAGTTATTGGACTCAAACATGGCCGACCTTTGTTTGAGTCTCGGACCTGTGGCTTGACTCATTCTGGGCACATGTGTGTGCGTGCCCAAAATCCTGAGAGAACAGTGGAGAAGAAGGGAGTGCAGCATGGCCATCCCACCAGGGGGTGAATTCTCACTTTCTCATTCTCTATCTCTCTCTATCTCTATCCAGCGAGTTCACACACCCTATGGCAAAAAATCTTTAAAAAAATGAAACTAAACAATTTTCCCCTTTATTCATAATAGAGCACAAGAGGGAGAGAGAGATAAGCACCTCCCACATCCCATAGGGGCCTGGTCGTACCGCAATCCCTTTTCTCCAGTCCTCCAGCCTGTTGGACGTTGGGCCTTCACATGTGTGTGCAGTGCGTTTTGGACAAACCGGGCCACACATTTGAACTATAGTTGCCTTGTGGCTTCTCTTGAGCAGCAATTACTGCCGCAGCACAGAGCTGGTCCCTAGAGGCCATGTTTTGATTGAGCCATTACTAAGTACACACCATTCGAATCCACGGGATTTAGAATCCTCTCAAAACCTCTCTATTATCAGGAAACAATTTTACAAAAATGACCCGAGAGAGGCTATCAAAACAAGAATGGTCCCATGAGGGACCATCGGAGAACGAAGCACGTTTCATTTATCTTTGTGTTCAAATGCCATTTTAATCCATTTCTCCAGAGAAAACAAGTTTTATCTTCCCCGGAGCTGCCCTAAAACTGCCCTATTTCTTAAAGCCTATTTCAATGTGGTTTTTCTTTTTGTTGCCTTAAAAAAAAATTTTTTTTTGAATACTTAAAGTACTTTGAACTATGCCAGAACAGGATTGTTTAATTAAAAGCTAGAAGTAGTACCGTTATAGCTGGGATGACTCATCTGGGACTTTATTTTAAATGCATAGTAGATAGGAGGAAGGTTCATAAACAGCGTAGACCAAAGTACAGATTCAACTGCTCTCTTTTATCCCCTTACAGATCCACCTGAATTTATTAAAGATGGCGTGGAAGCGCAGCAGCGTAATGCAAATCTTCAGATTCCTTCTCTTAGTGATTTTATTTCTGCCACACGAGATGATGAGTAAGTTAATATTCCTTTTGTCTTCTTTTTAGGTAAAGACAAATTTCAGGTCAGAAAATGACCAATGAGTACTGGGTACATCCTTAAATTACACACTGGGGTCAGGCCGTGGTGGCTCACAGATAGCACCTCCGCTTCAGAGGCTGGAGGCTGTACAGGAGGCTCAGGCTTAGTTCTCGAGTCAACCCGAACATGCTGGGCCAGTCATCCTCACTAATTGAGAGGCTAGGGCAGGAGGAGAACAACGTGGTGAGAGCCTATCAAAAATACCTGTCTTGGGAGACCAGCAGGTGGCATGGTGGTTAAGGTGCTGGACACTCTCACATGGCTGACCATGATTCCAGTGGCTTGCTTTCTCACTTTCTTTCTCTCTCTGTGTGTCTCTCTCTGGTCAAATTAAAATAAGTGAATGAATAAATAAATTAAAATAAATTAAAAAAATAATTCTTAAAAAAAAAAAATAATACCTGTCTCCAGAGCTGTTTGAGTCCTGGACCTGGTGGCTTCAAAATCTTGCCAGGCAGGGAACCAGCAGTTAGCGTAATGGCTATGTAGCTGGACTCCCACGTAGTCGACCATGGTTCGCGTCCCGGACCTGGTGGCTTAAAACCCACGCCGGGCGCGAGTGCGTGCATGCCCAAGATCCTAAGAAGGAGAATAGAGAAGGGATTGCGGCATGGCCGTCCCCTCTGGGGGGTGATTTCTCGCTTTCTCTCTCTCTGTCTTTCTCTGTCTGTCTGGCGAGCGGATGTGCCCTATAGTGAAAAACCTCTCAAAAAAAAAAAAAAAAATCTTGCCAGGCATGGGACCAGCAGGTATTGTAATGGTTATGTCCCTGGACTCCCACATAGTCGACCGTGGTTCGTGTCCCGGACCCAGTGGCTTAAAACTCACGCCGGGTGCGTGTACGTGCGTGCCTAAGATCCCGTATAGGAGAACAGAGGAGAAGGGATTGCGGCGTGGCCATCACCCTTGGGGGGTGATTTCTCACTTTCTGTCTCTCTGTCTTTCTCTGTCTGTCTGATGAGCACACGCGCCCTATAGCAAAATCTTGCCAGGCATGTGTATATGTGTGCCCCAGATCCTTAGAGGAGAATGGAGGAGAAGGGATTGTGATGTGGCCATCCCCCCTGGGGGGTGATTTCTCACTTTCCCTCTCACTGCATCTGTCTCTCTCTCACTCACCCTAAGACAAAAACTTCTTTAAAAAAAAAGAACTATCACTATTTCTTCTTCTCTCTCTTTTGTAAAGGACAAAAAAAAATTCGAATTGGAGTAACTACATAGTTGCGAATATTGGGGTCAGATAACAATAAAAAATTAAATGACTAGCCGCCTCTGAAGGACGGTGGGTAAGGTCTGTGTATAAGGGGCCGAGTTCCACATGACTGACCATAGTTCGAATGCTGGCCTTGATGGCTTGAAAAACACCCGGGGCACATGTTTCTGTGTTCCCAAATCCTGATGGGATGGAGAAATGAAGAAACAGGATTGTGGTGTGTGGGAGGCTCTCCTTTTCTCCTTCTTTCCAGCAAGTGCATGTGCCCTCTGGCAGAAAAAAAAAGTTAGGTGAAGGGACGAGCAGTTAGTGTAATGGCTATGTCGCTGGACTCCCACGTAGTCGACCGCAGTTCGAGTCCCGGACCCAGTGACTTTAACTCACACCAGGCACGTGTGTGTGCATGCCCAAGATCTCAAGAGGAGAATGGAGGAGAAGGGATTGTGGGGGGTGACTTCTCGCTTTCTGTTTCTCTGTCTCTCCCTGTCTGTCTGGTGAGCGTATGTGCCCTATAGCAAAAACCTCCCCCCCGCCAAAAAAAAACAGTTAGGTGGAAAAATATTGGATTTTATGGTTCTGATTTTACAAGACAAGGTAAAGTGTTCTATTTTCTTCAGAGCCAAAGCTGGGATTTTCCTACATTTCAATGAATTTCATTACTAATTTTACCCAACATCATCTGTTTATTTGAACATATCATTTACATGAGTCTTTCCTATACTTGTTCTTACCTGGAAGTAGCTTACTGTCCCCATTTTAAAAGTCATACATAGTCATTGTAAAATATTATAAATTAGGCAATCTATAAAAGAATTTTAAAATTGGAACCAGCAGTTAGCGTAATGGCTATGTCGCTGGACTCCCATGTAGTTGACCACAGTTCAAGTCCTGGACCCAGTGGCTTAAACTCATGCCAGGCACGTGTGTGTGCGTGCCCAAGAGGAGAATGGAGGAGAAGCGATTGTGGTGTGGCCATCCCCCCTGAGGGGTGATTTCTCGCTTCCTGTCTCTCTGTCTCTCTCTGTCTTTCTGGTGAGTGCACGTACCCTATAGCAAAAACCTCTCAAAAAAAAGAAAAAAAAAGAATTTTAAAATTGAGAATCTTCCCAAATCCCTTTTCCAGAGATAAACCACTCAACATTTTGTTGTATAGTATTTCTTTTTAAAGAATTATTTAATTTTATTTATTATGATTTTTTAAAAAAATTTGACCAGAAAGAAACAGAGAAAGACAAAAAAGGAAAGTGAGAAAGAAAGCCACTAGGTCCAGGACGTGAACTGTCATTGGCCATGTGGGAGTCCAGCACCTTAACCACCATGCTACCTGCTGAGTCCTGTTGTAGAGTCTTCTAAATTTTTAAAAAACACTAAGCAACAATTCCATTATCTTTACCAGTAGCTTATACTATTTTTCTTTCCTTTTCTTCTCTTTTCTTCTTTTTTTTCTATAGCTTGCTATGGGGCATGTGCACTCTCTGGAGAGAGACAGAGAAAGAGAGATAGAGAAGAAAAGTGAGAAGTCATCCTCAAGCGGGGATGACCATGCCACAGTTCCTTCTCCTCCATTCTCCTGTCTTGGCTTGGGGCATGCACACGCACATGCCCAGCGTGATTTTCAAGCCACCAGGTCTGAGACTCAAACCACTCTGTTGGCCATACAGGATTCAACTGCCTTGACCTCCCCGCCACCTGCTGGCTCCTGTTTTCTTTCTTTTTAAAATTGTCAGGGAATGGAGCACTTGCCAGCAAGGGAGAAAGCACCCTCAGTCAGTGGAATGTGGTCATACTGCAATTCCTGCTCCATTTCTCCATCCTGGGGGATTTGTATGCATGTATGCACATGTGCCCACGACTGTGTTGTTTTTTTTGTTTGTTTGTTTTAGAGAGAGATTTTTGCTAAAGGGTGTGTGCACTCTCTGGAAAGACAGAGACAGAGAGAAAGAAAGCAAGAAATCACCCCCTGGGGATATGGCCAAACTGCAACGCTGTCTCCTCCATTTTCCTCTTGGGATCTTAGGCATGTATGCACACACCCTCAGCGTGAGTTTTAAGCCACCAGGTCTGGGATTTGAACCGTGGTCAACTATGTGGGAGTCTAGCAATGTAACCATTTCATCATCTGCTGTTCCTTTGCTGCTGTTTTTTAAGCCACTGGGCCTAGGATTTGAACCTCAGTTAACCACATGGGATCACTAGATCATGAGGGCAGCTCTTATGTTTCTTAAAGTAAATTTTCTTTTTTTAAAGAAAAGTTAACGTGTTTACAGAATATATTAGGAAATGTTACGTGGAGGGCAAGTTTATAGCAGCTGAAGGTTTTTTGTTTGTTTGTTTTTGTTTTGGTTTGGTTTTGTTTGTTTTTAGCTTTCTTTAATTGCTTCTGAGCCAGAAAAACAAAAACTGAAATTCAGGTATATTACTATACAATGAATGGATTCCTAACAATCAGAGCTGGAAAAAAAAAAAAAGCTATATATCTACTTTACCTATTCCATTAAAAAAATCACCTACCCCACAAACTGCAGCTACTTAAACACCTTTTTATTTTTCTGCACTACCAAAACAATATTAAAACATCAGAAATGCAAGACCTAGTTTGTCCACATCCTATCGTCTAATTGGAAAAGTATTTCAAATCAGTTTTTGCCCACGTGCATATTCAATTTTGACACTTTGTAGTAATTATTAGAGATGTAATTTATATTCTGCTCTTCCACTTAATGCTATGTTTTAATATTTTTTTATTTTGTTATAGCCCTTTTCTTCTTCTTCTTTTTTTTTTTTTAAGTTATTTGTTTTTGTTTTTCAATGAGCAAGCAAGAAGCGAGAGCACTCCCAAAAGGGTCTTGACCCCAATCCACTCCCAACTCCAGCTGGCCCTGGATCATGGGCACATGTGTTCCCAGCATACTCAGGAAGTTCTCTGGTTGTGAACCTGGAATCTTCCCAAGTGGGTCAGCCTCACAGAACTTCGCATTTTACTGCTGTGCTTCCATCTGGCCCTCTAGTCCTTCCCATTTCCTCGGTCTGTTGCTTTCCTAATTCGAACCCCCTTAAAGTAACAAGTCTGGTAGTTATTTCTCTACCTTTTTCTCTGTTTTCATCAGTCCTATTCAATTTAGATAGGATTCCCTCCCCCAGACTTTTCCCTATGAATATATACATGTACAAGTGTGTATACTAAATATACGTATGTGTGTACATATATGCAGTATCGCTATGTATGTACTAGTTTCTTTTTTAGTTTATTTATTTCCTTCAGGATTTCCACGCTGCGATCCTTCCCCTAGTCCTGCAGCCAGCCAAGAACATGGGCATGGCCATGAGCATACTCGGTGTGTTCAGGTAGACCTGAGTTGCAGGCCTAGAGCCCTCACCATGTAACTTCCAATATCTCAGCTACTCCTGCGCCTCTGCTGCTGAGCCTGTACATATTGGTTTCTAATCTAGTTGTTAAACTTTACTACACGTTAAAATCAACGGGCAGAATTTTAAAAGGCCCAATGCCCAGGTTTTGTTCATGTCAATCAGATGTCTGGGGATGAGAGCCAGGTATCAGTATTAAAAGATCCCCCAATGGGTCCAGTCACAGTGGCACAGGTAGCAGGGTGCAGCTACATCTTACTGGAGCAAACTGGGAAGACCTGGGGTTCAAGGTGATCAAGGGTCAACCTGAACACACTGGGGATGCCCGTGGGTACCTGGCTGACTAGAAGAATAGGGGGAGGATTACAGAGTAGCAAGATCTTGTGAGGAATGCCTTTCTCTTCCTTTTCCATCCTCTCTCAGTAAATAAATAAATAAATATGTAAATAAATAGACTTTTTTTTTTTGCCATAAGGCATGTTCACTTGCTTGAGAGAGACAGAAGCGGTGAGAGGAAAAGTGAGAAACACCCCCCCCCCGGTGGGGGAGGTGTGGGGATGGCCACGCTGCAATCCTTTCTTCTCCATTCTTCTTCTGGGATTTTGGACACATAACACACACGTGCCTGGTGTAATTTTCAAGCTGCCAGGTCCAGGTCTTGAACCACAGTTGGCCATGAGGGAGTCCAGTGCCATAATCACTATTCCATCTGCTGGCCCCCACAAATAATCTTTAAAAAATTATCCCCAGGTGATTTAATGTGCAGTAAAATTTGGTAACCACCATTTTAACCTTTTTCCTTTTAGTTAATAATATATTATGGATTTTCTTCCTTGTAAAATCATATAGATCAATAAGACTATTTTTCATTACAGAGTATATTTGGTTGTACTGATGTAACAGAATTTGTCTAATAAACCCCGTATTGATGGACATCGAGGTCGTTCACGCTGTATACTTTAACATTCTCCCAGGTTCTGTTTTAACCGTGAATGGTAAAGCTGAAAACTATATTCTGGACACTCAGCGTGGCTCCCAAGAATCTCTGAAATGTGCTGTTCAAAACCACACTAGAGAAGAAGAACTGCTGTGGTATCGAGAACAGGGGAGAGTGGATTTGAAATCTGGAAACAAAATCAACTCCAGCTCCGTCTGCGTCTCTTCCATCAGTGAAGACGACCACGGAGTCAGTTTCACCTGCAAGCTGCGGAGGGATCAGACGGTGTCCATCTCGGTGGTGCTGAACGTCACATGTGAGTGAGGGGAAGAGAAGCCCTGGTCCTCTTTAAGGTCTACGCTCAGTGCTGCTTCAAGTCTGTCTCGATATTGCCGAATTCAATATCGTTCTATTTTATGCCCCCACGACAAAGCATGAGTGTGCCTATTTTTCCACACTCTCGTGAGCACTGAGTAGCCTCCAACTCAAAGCATTTGCCAACCTCATTTGAAATTTTATTATTATTAATTGCCAGAGGACATTTAATGGTTGCCAGAGAGAAAGAGAGAAACAGGAGAAATCACTCCCCCTGGCGTGTGGTGACTCTACAGTCTCTTCTTCCCCATTTCCTCTTCTGCAGGGATTTTGGG